TTGTTTTGTTGCGATCAGTTCTGAAACGTTCGCTTTGCGAGAACGGAGTGTGAGATATTATTCGTATGAGTCGATGGAACATGAAACGAAATTGTTTGGTCGGTTCGAATGAACGAATATAAAATATTTCCGATCAAATTTCACCCACTTCTTTGCACTTCCTGCAATCGTATATTTTCATTAAAGTGCTCGAGTTGAAAAGGAAAATGTTCTGTTCCACTCAAACAGCTCATAGATACGCGAACTTTTTTGATTAGCTAGGTAACAACAGAATGCGATGGGACTTTCTCATGTTTAATGCATAACACTGCTGAACGGTCTTATCGTTGCTGAATGAAATCTTTTTTTTTTCCGATTGGAGATGAAGATTATATTCAAATTGCAAACTTTATTCACAATCACAACAATATATCCAGGATCTGACTAGTGAGAGTTTTCAGTTGGGAATATTTCTGATATTTTTCGCTAAATTTCCATAGTGATTGAGCGATATGTTCGTTTCAATTGAATCTCTCGATTCATTTTTCATGATGCACTAACTCATTCAACAAAATTCCCCATTCAGTTACTCTTCGTATCAACAGCCGTCTATGTCTCATTATCAACTACTTCTTATCGCCATATATCTCTCAAAAATTTCAATTTTATGCTCACAAATTAGAATGATTGCTGCAAGCCAACAAGCATCTGCAAATGATCAATTGTAACAATATATAATAGATCACTTGTTACGTTTGGTTCACGCTTACGCTAAACTGATGTTACTGTGATATTGATGGCTGCATAGATAGATGTTCTCAAAATCGAAAGTTGATTAATTCACAGGAAAGAATCCGAAAAACTGATGACAGCATCAACTGAGCGAATACCGTCTATGAAGATGATTTATGTGAATACCGCAAGCCTGGCGAGACCCGGTGTGGGCAGTTCAGCGATTGCCGGTGACGGTTCCATTCGATCAACGAGGATGTCAAACGGTTTAATCGGTATGATTATCATTTCGGCTGTGCTGGCTGCAATCGCTCTTATATTGATCACTTGTTACTTGATGCTGCGATACTGCAATAGGCCCAGCCGCAACACGAAGAACAACGCTGCGTTACCAGGTGAGCTTAATGGAACTTTTTTGAGTGAATTTATTTCCAAGTGTAAGAAAATTCTAGCAGAAGGTCAGTTTAGATTGATGCACAAAATCGCCCATCAAGTATTCACTTTTGCAAAGTGAACTGAGTGCTTTATCAGAGATAATCACATGGAATTTTCGAAATTCCATGCGATTATCTCCGATTGGATTTAGAAGATGTGATTAATCGGCAACCAGATTGCTTAAAATAATCGTCTGCTTAAATGGAAACGAGCTAAATATGTGGAATTTGTGCATAGAAAATTCTGTGAAATTGATTTGCTGCAAACAGTTGATGAATTCTCATCTAATGAAGCGCTTTATCTTAGATTTTTATTCGTCGGCCGATGTCATTCCATATCCGAAACGAATCTACGAGCTACAGGCAGAGGAAGGTGAGTGAAGTGTGCAGATCGTGAAACTCTTAAACCCCGTTTGTAAATTGACGAATCTTGCTCCTTGATCAGGTGATGGAATGTGCAAATTGAATAGAGCTATCCTCATTGCAGTTCAAGAGTGCCGAAATGTTCTTCAAAACATT